ATATTGCAAACAGAATTGCAGTAAAAATCTGTTGTTTACCAACTTTAAATAAATCCCAAAAAGTTTTTTACCAGATTAAAGCGACCAATTCTGGCTATAAAATGTGCTCATTTTAAAAATGCATTTTCTTTATTTGTACCATAACACACCAAATGAAATAGCTGCACATAAACTGGACTTGTTTTGGTAGTTTGGGTTTAAAAGGTTCACTGGGATGATTCACTGTTTGAATTTGTTGTCCTGTATCCTTACATCCTCTTTGCAGTATGTGTTCTACTCTGCAAGCTCAAACTAAGAGATGACAACCTGCTCTAGTCAATCCTTTGCCTGAGGACTGAGTTCAGGCGATCACATACTCGTCAGCGTTCAGCAGGAGTGTGTATGGATGCAGCCGGGGCAGGAGAGGTGAGGACTGACGTTTCCCCTAAACTCATGTGACACAACAATATCCTGGCGTCCATTAGTCGGAAGTGTGGCCGGATGTGCGCTCAGCCAGTGGAACTTTTCTGATGTGAGCGCACGTGCACTTTGAGCGGCTGAAGTCACCTCTGCTCAGAGACTCCAGTGTCGCAAGTGCAACTCATGACCAACTTACACACACACACACACGGGGAGAGAGGGAGAGAGCGAGGCTGACATGTTTCCCAGCAGCAGGCCGTGGTGCTGGTGGAAGTGCAGCCGGCTCACAGGCGCTGTCTGCGGCCAAACGCTGAGACCAACGCAGGCTCCGAGAGCCTCCAGCCCCGGCATATATACATGCCTATAAATAACCGGCCAATCAGCGGCGAGCCACTGGGAGTCAAACTGGCCAATTAAAACGCGAGAAGGGACCGAATGAAGTCAGAGCGCGGCCGCCATTGGTCGCCCGTGATATCATTCGCGAGCCCTTACGCCGCTCGCCTCTGATTGGCTGCGGGCGGAGCGGAGGAAGGAAGGAGTGAGGCGAGGGAGAGAGAGAGGAGGGGGCGGGGCCCGGAGGTTTGAATAGGGAAGTTTTGCAGAGCGCAGTTGTTCCTCATCCAGTCCGCTGCGTGTCTGTCAATACGAGAGAGAGGAGGAGAAGAAGAAGAAGAAGCGAGAGAAGGACGGAAGGAAGGAGGGGGCACTGACGGAGCAACTCTGCCGCTGCTCGGTTCGCATCGCCGGGGGACCGCTCTCACTCCCACTCCCTCCGCTGGCTCTATTTTATACCTGACTCTGACACTTAAAGTGCAGCTTACTCAAGGCGTTTTGTTTTTCAACAAGAAAAAGGGGGAAACACTCAAAAAGAAAAGATGGATGTTCTACCCATGTGCAGCATCTTTCACGAACTTCAGATAGTTCACGACACGGGCTATTTCTCCGCCTTACCGTCACTGGAGGAGTACTGGCAGCAGGTGAATATGTCCACTGTGTGTGTCTGGGTCTGAGCTGCTGCTGCTGCTGCAAAGCGGAACTGGCTGCGCTTCTTTTTTTTTCTTCTTTTTTTTTTTTGCTTTAATAGATCACAGGGAAGTTGAGATTATTTATACAATCACATCGCGTTGAGGTTGTAAACACAGGTGTTCCAGTGCGTAGACGGAGCCCGTGCGCTCACCTGACACGCTGCAGCAGTGTGTGTGTGTGTGTGTGGTGTATGAAGTTTTTGGCAGACTGAAGTGGATCAGTGTGTCAGTCTGACAGCTGGAGTCCAGCCTCTGCTGCTGCTGCTGCACCAGGATGAATGAGAGAGAGAGCCACTGCACGCTGCCTCTCTCTACCTCTCTCTATCACCAGCTCTATCTCTCTCTACCTCCATCTCTACCTCTCTCTATCACCATCTCTACCCCTCTCTCCCTCTCTCTCTCTCTGCATGCTGCTGTTGTATTTCCTGCACGATGCCCGTACCTCTGAGCTGATGCTTCCAGGATGTGAGAGCTGGTTTCACTTCCAACTCACGCTGCTGAAACGCAGGAGGAAGTAGATTCTAGCTGATTCAAACTCAGATGTAGTGTTGGCTCAGGATCAAGCCCTGCAGCTCCTAGTTTTTGGTCAAATCTTTTATTTTCACAACATAATTTGTTCTGCTTTGGATAATCTCCCCTTCCTCTATCATCACCTTTTTATCTTCCTCTCTAACTCCTGTATCCCCTTTTCTCTGCTTTGTAACATTAAGTCTAGTCAAAAACATGAACATCCATTTTATTCAAAAACATCATTTCCCATCATCCTGTTATTTAAAAGGGCTCCTCAACTTCCTGTTTTCGAACCCCTATCTTCCTTCTTTTTCCGCTCTGTAATATAGATTCTAGTTAAACAAAATCTTTTTTGCACAATCCTGTGATTTGAATGAGCTTCCCAACATGACACGATCAAATGTCAGCCATGGCCCAATCCCTCCTCGCATGAGTAGGCACCAGCACAGCTGGAAAATATTGTGCTGCAGGAGCCCAGAGGAAATATTTATTCTACATGTGCCCCGTCAGAGCCGCTGTCTCTGAGCACCCTCCTAATGAACAGCCTCTTCTGTTTTTTTCAACTTTTAACGGCCTCTGAAGTAAATTGGAGCCAGTGTTATCTTTTTATTGAGCAGTTGAGGGGGTGGTGTTTGAGTGGCTGACATGGGGAAGGATGTGATTGCATGGCAGAGGTACGCATGAGGGTGAAAGCAGCTGAATGCCTGGAGGAGGAAGTCGAGTGGCTTCCTTAAAAGGACTATCAAAATGTGTTGAGCGCTGAAATGACAATGCACGTTCTCTCAGGTGCAGCAGAGTTGGAGCTTAGGCTGGTGGCGGTGGAGGGGGGGGGCGGCAGCTCAGACAGAGTAAATCACATCATGCTGAGACGACTGGAACATGTTAGAATGAGATGAGGCTGGATGTTGTGAGGGAAGATGAGTTTGTGAAATGAAGAAACGTGACGTGTAAACACAAATAATGGAGACTGTCCTCATCAGTTCATCCAGTCATTCATTGAAATCTTTTAAACACCAATAAGTAGAGAAACCCAGAACAACTTCCCAGAGAGCAACAAATGTCATAACACCAACAAATGTTCAATTTACCATCATATGACACAAGAAAACACGAAATCCTCACGTGTGAGAAGCTGGAACCAGGAAGTGTTTAAATTATTCATTTTCCTTCAGCTGACTCATCAATCAATAGACAGATCATCGCAGCACTAATGTAAAGATAAGTGCAGGGATGACTCTAATGTCCTGCTGTAAGCATCTAACAAATATGACTCATGTGCACGTGCAGTGTTTTGCTGCTGTGAACCAGCCTCCTCTCTTCAGGGGAGCTGCTGCACTTCATCTCGTCTTACTTTGTGTTTTCATTCAACCAGACATGTTTGGAGTTGGAGCGTTACCTGCAGAGCGAGCCCTACGTCTCCACATCCGACCTCAAGTTCGACGGCCAGGAGGACCTCTGGAGCAAGCTGATCTTGGCCTGCGGGGACAAGGCCAAGGCCGAGTCCGACCCAAAGCTGCCGCGGGCGCAGGAGGAGGACAATCAGGACAGCCAAATCTTGGACACCAACAGTGTGAATTCAGACGCCAGCAGCGAGGCCTCGGACAGTTCTGAGGAGCTCTCGCCCACGCACAGCTTTACCTCCAACCCTCTTGGTTCCGTCTTGGTTGGCTCTGGACCTTTTAGCCCCTCCGTCATTAGCACGCCCCCGTCCTCGCCGGAGGCCAACTCGGAGCCCATCACGGTGACGAATAGCTGGGTCGCCATGCACGGCGACTTGCACTTGCCGGTCAAAATCAGGAGCGGTGGCTCTGCAAAGGGTTCGGACAAGACAGGACTCATGTGCGGGGACGCGTCTCCGGACGGCAGGAGGCGAGTACACAGGTGTCAGTTCAACGGGTGTCGCAAGGTTTACACGAAGAGCTCCCACCTCAAAGCACACCAGCGCACTCATACAGGTCAGTACAAACTGTCAAGGCCTAAATTACGTCCACTTGTGATCTGTGTGAAGGTTGAGTCCCTCCTCTGTTGCTTTCACTCAAAACCAGTTCATTCATAGAGCCAAAGAATGTTAGTTTTTATTGAGCGCTGGGTGGAAGTGCGATGAATTCAGTCTGTCATCGTAAAATACATTGTCCAGCCATTGTGTAATGTAATTAAAGGTCCACATTGCATGATGTCCTCAGCTGGAGCGCTGTGAGCATTAGCGCTGCATGGCTGAATACCTAAACTGTGACCTAATCTATCTGGAATGTGACTCACTGAGCCAGTGAGTGAGTGAGCGAGCGAGAGAGAGCAGGGGGAGGGGTTGCACATGGGAGATAAAAAGGACTTCAAACCAGATTGAGTTTCACTATGGGAATGGGGTGAATGGGTGGGGGGGCCGGGGGGCCCCAAGTGGGAGGCCTCTGAATGGTCATTTCAGTGTTTCTTACTTCTGATTAGAGGCGTGAAATTGCAAATGTTGCTTATTTCATTTTCTACACACTGAGCGTATGTTATGCATTCAGCTGCACTGCACCGCTGCTAGCAACTAAGCATGTTGCAGCAGCATAAAAAAACAGCCCAAGTGATCCAACAGGTTCAGTGAAAACTGGCTCTCGACTGACCTGTCATCAGACCTTGGCCCAGGGGGTGATTGATTTGAATGCGTTTTGAATAACAACAGAGCAGGGCCAACCAATCATTGCCCGAGCAGAGAAAACGTGCTGCATCAGTTTCAGTCCAGACTTGGAGCTTCACTCACCTGTTATATCCCCCTGCAGGTGAGAAACCGTACAGATGTTCATGGGAGGGCTGCGAGTGGCGTTTTGCACGGAGCGACGAGTTGACCAGACACTTCAGGAAGCACACTGGGGCAAAGCCATTTAAATGCAGTCACTGTGACAGGTAAGCCAGACTTGTATTATGTCTCCAAAGACTGAAGACACTGAGGCCTCTTTAGGGCCCGGTCACACATGCAGAAATGTTTGTTACTTTCTCGTCCAATCGGAAGGATTGAGGAGGCAAATCAAACATTTGCTTCCTGTGGTGGGGCAAATAACAGCGAGGCCTCACATGGAGTTCAACTTTGATGAACTTTGACCTGTGATATTGGCTTCACATTAATGTGTGTGTGACCATACCCTTAATTAGAGCTGAACTGATGACTAGCTCAACATGTGTAAATATGGGCCCATACTAGCTTACTGAAATGTGTGGATGTGGGCTAATGATAAAAACAAGTAAATTCATTTTGGAAATTTACGATCAGCTCACTTAATTTTGGAATTTTATTTTTAAAGCCCCCGAATGTCAACATCAGGCTCTTACTAAAAACTAGGAGGAGATAATTGGTCTCAATGAGCCACTTCTGAATAGGAATTTGTTCAGTTATTACCTCACGTCATTAAAAAGCATGAGTTCTACACCATTAATGTTTAAAATCACTGTAGCAAGAAGCTTCTTCCTCCGTTCAGTACAACATGTCTGACTTCCTGCCCCCCCTCTCTTCCTGTTCCCAGATGTTTCTCCAGGTCAGACCATCTGGCTCTTCACATGAAGAGGCACATCTAGAGAACAGGGCGAGCGCCGAGTGAGCGTCGCAGCGAAGGGGTGGACGTTTTTTTTTTTTTTTTTAAGAAGAAGAAGAAAACAAACGCCGACGTCTCTCCCGATCCGGTCTCTTGGTTGAACTGTCCCAGAGAGCAAGAGTAGCGGGAGTGTGTTCCAGCCAAAGCATGCCGTTTTGCACCATACTGAAACCCAGTGCCTCCGGGACCTCTCTTTGGAGAAAGGTGCTCTGAAGGTTGTCTGTTGCGACAAGAGGACAAAATCATGGATGGGGGAAGAACTTTGTTTTTCATTGAGAAGGACTTAAAACACACACAAAAAGACAAAAAAAAAGATAAAAAAGACGCAAACAGAGTGAATGATTTGTATGTATGGTGCATGATGTTTTGGGGACATCTCCCGGACAGCAGATACACTGGTACTTAAAAAAAAAACCTGTCTGAGGTAAGCATGTGTGCACTGTGAATGTCTGAGATTGGCCGCCGGGCCCCCGTGGAGAAAGAGAGCAAGGGTTTCTGGGAGAAGAGATGGATTGATGGAGCGGGGCTGGTACCAATGTGCTGTGGACTGAATGGGGTTTTCTGGGGGGAAAGGTTCCTACCAGTGTTTCCCCTGGTGGCAGTGTGAGGAGGAGGCAGGGAGAAAGTTCCTGCCCTGCCTGTCTGACACCCAGACTTAGTGGAGGAGGAGGAGGAGAAGGGGGAAGTCTCCTTGGGTTTGACTCGAGAGAAAAAGAGCATTGATGTGCCCCCTTCTGGTCTGTGACCCAGGACCCAAACTCTCCCCCTCTGCCCTCCTCACTCCCTTGGTCACTGTATGACCGGAGCTTTTTTTTTTTTGGTGTTTTTGGTGCAGCTACTAAATGTGCAATGTGTTACGTAGCCTGGTTTATTATTTTTTTACATGCTACAAAGCTCATTTGTAGTCCCAATTGTATAAGCTGTGTGCTTAGAGGTATAAAACACAACTATACTATAACTTCAGTATCATAGACAGGTGTTGCATGGTTCTAGGGTTTGTTCACTTCCTGTTTCCAACTGGTTCAGGACTGCAAATAGATTTTCTTTTCAATAAAAGTGCAGCTAAAACGCAAACGGTTTTAAATGTTACAATATTGTACATAAACGCCCCGATGATTTCCTCTTCATCTTTACGACATCATCAAACATTTCCCTTCACTCTGGTTCTTCACACGGCTGCAGACGTCACCGCTGCTTGCTGATTTTCTTCTCATTCATCCTTTGCCTTGAGGAACACTTTTTGATTTGTTTTTTTTGTACTTTCCTTTTCTATCTTAATAATGCACTGTTGACCTTAATGGTGCCTTATGCAAGTGACTCAGCCCCGTGGCGGCGCTTGTTTTCGCTCCCCCCCTCGGGAAGTCACATTTGTTGTATGGGTGATTTGACAAGCTTGATTAAGGCTCAATTACAAATTAACTCACACCTCTTTGTGTGTAATGAAAGCTGCCTGCATCTATTCCGACGGTTAATTGTGTTAAATGTAAATGCTCCGAAAAGTACCTCTCTCAATTCAGTCGCTTTTTTTTTTCCTGCCTCTTTTGACTCAGAGACAGCTCAGTTGACGTGCATCACACTCATTGGAGTCAGAACATGTAAATAAGACAAATGCTGTATGTTTAGAGCACTTAAATTCATTTATTAATGCTGTTAACTACTGTGTAGTATGAACTCAAGTCCATCACACTCGGCTCCAAGGTACAAAATAACCAGAGTAGCTAGACAACACATTGTTTTTCTCACAGTTCAGCTCATACAGTGCTGCTCCTTTTTACCCTGTATCCCTCCCCTCCACCATCACCATCCTCTGCACCCTGTCCCCCGCTCCGTCCCTCCATCGCTGCAAGTGGGACAGAAGAAAACGCTAAAGATTTATTGTAATTAACAGGCCGCAGTCGGACAGGCCTTGCCTTGTACTGCCTCGCGGTAATGAATTGCTAAAGGCTTTGTTGGCATGGAATCTGTCACAGACTGCTGACTGTGTAGGTTGGTTATTGACCTGTCTGGGGGAGCGTTGTTTTAGCCAAGCTGCAACAGTAATATGAAGAAAAAAAACAGGAGTGAGGGGGGGCAGGTGGGTTCTCTGGAGGAGATAAAGATCAAGCATCGATGTTGCACATGGAAATTTGGCCCCCCCTCAAAAAAAGAACGTCAATGATGTTATTTCCTAAAAATCTTTCTTCAATTTTTCTCACTGGAGGTGGATGGATACTGGACAGAAGGTGGAGACCAAAATAATTGTAGGGATTACACTTATTACTGCTTCAGGATACAGTGATCAGTGCCTCCGCTCCAGATCAGTGACCTTGCTGCTGGAATTTTCGATGTTGCAGCAAGTCGCACTGTGGCGTGTTCCAACATATGGATTTCAGATCAGCGAGGTGAAAGAGACACGATGAGTACAAACTTGAAACTGCTTGCTCCGATAGATTTGGGAGTGCTGGCGATGCCTTTTGTGGGCAAAGAGAAGGAACATCCATTCTGGGAAAGCAGCAGCCAATACTGTTCAAGTGGTAATTGAGCCTTGATTTAGCCCCATGTTTGCTCGCATCTTTCACACTTTCCATCATCCTTTTTCATCCCACTACTCCTCTGTCTCACACACACACACACACACACA